TAACAGGAACCTGGAAATGTCTGCCCTCAGGTGGATGTGAGGCTCCGCACTCTGAGAAGAAACACTGTCAAGGTAAACTGAATCCCATAAAGAAGGAATCAACAGTCATGAAGTGCTTTCTGTGTGCTAGGCACGGTTCGGAGTGCTTCACAGGCATTAAGGTGCCTATTCCAATGACGATAGGGAAGGTACTTTTATAGCTTGCATTTTAGATATGAAGTTAAGCCACAAAGAAGTTGAGTAAATTCCCCATGATCCCCTAGAAGATTAGTGATAGAGTTCCTATTTGGACCTAGGGAGTCTGGGTCCACAGTCAGGTGTTTAGACACTCATGCATTTAGCCTGTGTTGCTACACTGTGCCAGGAATGACACACGCACAATTTCACCCTCACAGCAACACAAGGGACTATTCTCCCATTCCACAGAGATGTTAATGTGGCTTCCAAAGTGAGAGGCCGAGGAGTTGTATCCAGGGACATCTGATCCAGAGCATCATCTGTTGAATTATTCTCCTACAGTGTGCTTTCTTATAGGAGCTACATGTCATTTACAGATGAGGAAACTGAGACTTCAGGAGACGTATGAGGTGGCAACATGGAGATTGTTGCTGTCACCAAACAGAGCACACCCTATTTTCACTTCATCAGAGTTATGTACAATGAGAATGTTCTTATTTCCTTAATCAAATGCATGTGGCAATTGGCTGCCTCCCATAAAGTGTCACCTCAAAGTGTCCAATGTGTACCAAAACTGAATGCAGACTTATTTTTTCCTAATTCCACATATCAACAAAGCCAGTATAGAAAGAATGACATAGGTGAGAATGCGCAGGTAGATTTCCACCCTGTAGAGATATATACCATGACAATATGGTAGCATCATAATTCTAATCCCAGTGAGCAATTCATTATCAGTCCATCAAAAAAAAAGTTTGGCGCTGGTTCCTGAACTTACCACTGTATTTCTTTATTGAATACAGAAAGAGTCAAGGACATAAGGGGTGTAAAAGAGTTGTATGAAGAAGAGTTTCAGAGAAAGGCTTCTACGTGGGAAGTCCCCATTAATCACTCCTTCTGCTCACACCACCAAGACCAGGGTAGTAACCGTGGGCTTGGTCCCTAGGATGTTTACCACGGTATCCTCATGTGTAAAATGGGTAATAATCAATGGTACCTATTTCCTCAGTCTGTCATGAGGGGTTATGTCTGCTTTAGATCACTGCCTTGAAGTTTGAAGGCAAAGCACAAAGTCACCAAAGCCCACAGAGCCAGGTGCTCTCCCTTTCATGGCTCAGCATCTCATTCCTTTTGTGTTTTGATGCAATCAGGAAAACTGTGCAGCACCTAAGTCTGGAACCAAGAAGGGGATTTCTACTCACTGGCTTACGAATCCTCCATTCTCTGGAGGTCAGAGAGCAAATCCTGTATTTCTGTGTCTGGCATCCCTAGTTATGAATGGGGCATCAAATTTATGTTATCACTGTCACAAAACAAACAACATGTTACCAGAGCTTATCTTTTGATTGCTACAGAGTTTTAAGCATACGTCTGTGTATATGGTTTTATTTAACAGGCTTTGTAGGTTAATTTCATTAGCTCTTGAAAGTTTGCTTTTTTTGACACCATGGATGCTAACGTGATATTACTACAAATGTTTTCCTGTACTCTATAGTAAAACAAATCAGCCTGGAACAATATGTAAATTAGATGATTATATCTTGTTCAGTTTTAAGGGCAATTAAATATTTGCCTTGAGCTCCTCATAAAGCATTGCAAATATAAAACTTTCTATTCCTTTTTGTGCCTAAACTTATTTAGCATCAACTTTTTTACTATTATTTTCCTTTCATTGAAAATTGGGTTTTCAATTATATGTCACAATCGTATAGTATATGGATCTTTATTTGCAAACATATTTTGTCTTTTTTTCTGTTCTTGTTGAATAAATTATCTTTATTGCTTTGTTAATTGGGTAGAGGGAGAGTGAGAAAGAGTCTGAAATAAATAAATAAATAAAAATTTAAAACTCTATGCTATAATTTTTTTCTTTCAATTTGATTTCCCATTACTTTCTCTTCTCCTTTCTTGGATCTTGCATGATCCGTTTCTTCCCATCTTTCTTTTCCATTTACCCAAATGCATTTTGTCCTCCCTGTCAATTCATTCATAACTTGGTTAAGAATATGCTTTCTCTGGACAATATTTCTTCTCCAGTCTGCTCCCCCATCAAAAATGTAATTGTTCATCTCCACCAACAAATGCAAAGGATTGTGACATCTTGAAAAACAAAAGAATAACAAAAGAATAACACAATTTTTAAACCATGTTGATGATATTTACACTTCCATACACAATTGTCAATGACAAAACAGCAGGAACAGTATCTCCAGTTTCCTTAGACAGAACCTATCCTTCCTTAACTACCCTTCACCTTAAGGAAGGGAGACAGCTTGACAACATGATGCTTAAAGGATGATGTTTTCAGCAGTGGGTGCACGGTCACTCTACAAATTATACTTTTAAAGTCCTCATATTGTATGTAAGTCATAAAAAATGAAATGTTTGCTGAGACAATCTCAGTCATATAATGGGGAAACTATTAGGTAGGGGAGTGTTTTACAATCAATTTAGGTATTTAGGGTCATATAAATCTGTTTTATAAAATAAAGGTCTGGTCTATAATATATCTACAACCTGGTAGGAAATACTAATTAGGGACAGATGGCAAGTGTGACATTCCTACTGTTTAGTACATACAATATATGCTACAAAATGGCACCAAATGTTTTCCATATAAGTTCAGAAAAATAAAGCCTGTTTTTACAGCTATGAAACTGACTGCAAATACGATCACCAACAACTTCAAAAGTGAGGCGAAAATGTTTTCTAATGTGGTTGAATGTCGGGAATGCTTTTACATAGCTTAATATTTTTGATATGCATTAATACATATTGTAATACATCCAAAAAATGTTACTAAGTCTTCAGACATCCTACATCATTCAACATTCAATTTGAAACCTTCACCAGTATGTTTACATTCAAAGACCAGACTCTCATACTGAATAGGACAGGATCTTAGATACATTTGTAACACTGGAAATGAAACACACTTAAAATAAAAATCAGTTCCATACAGCAATAGATAACATTAATAGCCTACACATGTTTTTAATGGCTCCTAATATAATATGCCCTTTCAAGGAATCATCTCTACACACTGAGATGTGTTTTTATTGCACTACTTTGAGTAATTATGAATTGAAGATGATTGATAAAATAAATATTGATAGTTAAATAATTTTTGACATATACATAATCCTCTAAGTATAAGGTTCTATAAGAAATAAAGTATTAAATCTTGAACAAAAAAAGGAAAAGTATTTTTCACATTGACTTTTAAGAATATTCACTTTTATTGTTACACTCAGTAAAGTATCTTACCAAAGTTCACAGTCATCTCTAATTCAAATAAAATCAACACCAACTGTGTGCTTCATAATCAATACAATGAAGAAAAAATTATTGGCCAATTTAAAATAATTAGTCTACTTACTACATCTTTTTAAATGTAGCAAGAAACTTAGAGCATTAATACTATCCTACTCTGATCCCCTTAGTAAGTGAATATTTAAGATGCTTCTGTTTTCAAATATCAATATCTACTGTACATTTAGAAAACCCACTAGTGAAAATCAATTTTATTTAATTTCTTAGAAAATCACTATTTCAATCTACTTTTCTTTGTGAATTCTGACTTGCTACATTATTTTATCATCTTTACAACAATTAATAATTATTGATCTCAAAAGCAAAGGCATAACACAGTGCAAGAATTATTATGAAGAAGCAAGTTTCTATAACAAATGAGCAATAATCAAGACAAGTTGTTCTTCTTAAGAACACAGCACATTATAGCCATAATTAGCTCACCACCAAAGTGAGAAATACACGTACACATTTTTCAAAATAAGTCTTTTAAATAAAGTATTGCAAGCATCTTTGTAGCTTAAGGATTGGAAATAGCAATTAAGTCTGAACCTTAAATCATTCGTCTTTGTAACTAGAAAAGCGAGTCCCAGGGACGTAAATCTCACCCAATGAGACAAGGGATGCTGGGTTTATTATTAATTGCTAAGTAATTTCTTAATTTTGGAATCTAGCACCCAGCCCTAGCAAATAAATAGTGTGATTTATGAGCCTGCACTCTGGTGTTGCTTTACCAGAGTTCAATCAACACAGGCACATGCTAAATGTGCAGTGGGAACACAGTTCCTCCAAGTGAGAAAACGCAGCAGGGCTCGGCAGTGGGAAACCTACCCCACCTACTTATCATTCAAGCACTAATATTTAGAATACCTAAGATGCCTGCTGAACACTGCGGCTCAACATCCCCTGGGGTTCCTCCAAAGCAGAACCACATCTCTTCCCTCAGTGATTACTGACTTTTAAGAAGGAAGGTAACGCGGGGTAGAAATGCTCATGCAGCAGCAAGATAACTCTTCTCTCCAAATTTTCAAAACCCATGCCTCCTACACCAACCACACACACACACACACACACACACCCCACATACATATATACATTTCTTTTTAATAAAGGAGGGATTTTTAAATGGGTGTCTACAACATGCTGTTTGCATGGATTTGAAAAATGTATTTTTCCTCTACTTGCTGCTGATGTGTAAGATGTTTACGGATCTGATTAGGAAACCTGGATGTACATAAAAAGTCGAGCTTTCAATGAAATTCCTTTAGTGAAATCTGTCGGCATGGACCTATGTGCACATAAATAATAAATATTTACACACACGTGCCTACATTAACAAGGACACATGCACACACGCACCTCAGCCAGTAATTAAGCCACACCGTTCTGCAAAGCCCCTTTGCCATTTGCTTTTGCATGCATGTCATTCAGAAGACACATGTTTAAAACATAATAAGCAGCTGCATACAATGCACACCAAAGTGGCATGTTTAGAGGAGCAAATACATTACCAGACGCATTTTGAAGTTTCTGGAACACCTGCAGGTAAAAGGAGCCTGCAAGCCGGATGCTGGCACGCGATATTCCTCCGAATCACAGAGCTCGATGTGACCGTGGGGGAATGTGAGGGAGTGTGAGGCTGGAAACCTTTGAGTTGAGCTCACTCTAGGCATCAGAAAGCCTCAAAGAGGGGAAAGAAAAAGGCAGCCCGCAGACAGCTAGATGAGAAACTTCTGGCTCCTCTCCAGCTCAGGAATGAATTCTCTGTCATTTGGAGACGTATAGTGATGGAAATGAAGAGAAACTTGGATTTGCGGCTGAATTTGCTCAGCCATGCAGAAATGGGCAGGTAACAGTCTCTCACAGCTCGTTTTTAAACAGTCATTCAGGAACGAGACTGAATCAAAAAATTAGCAGGCATCTTTTCTGAAAAAATAAAAAGGCTACTCCAGCTAGCTTCCCCAGATGCTTTACAAACTTCAAATGGATCATTCCACCAGCTATTTGTTGCACATTTTATTAATCCCAGTGCAGAGGTAAACTGGAAAATCTAATTCTTTTTATGTAGAAAACTGGATTTATTGCTTCTTTTTATAACACACTTTAGACATATAAATACACAGATTTACTTACAGAGTTCTCGTTTTTCATGTAAAACCACTACTGTTTGGTCCAGATAAAATGCTAAAAGGCTTGTTCACAGCTTTTCAAGAAAGTGAAGTTAAAAAAATGTTTTAATACTCAGAAGCTTAGTTGAGTCCTGATATTTAAATATAGAGTTTGAAGCCAAGTGAGTATAAAGGAAGAGCCCTGAGCCATTAAGAGGCAGGCATGGAAGAGATACAGCTATAAGCAAGCATTGAGCAGGCAGGTGGCTCAAGTCTATAAATACATACATAATTAAGAGGAGGAGGAGGAAAAAGGCTTTGGCAAATTCAGTTCTTAGAGACAATAGCTGGTTTTTTTGTTGTTTAGGTTTACAAATAGGCTAATAATTTCTGGGGAGCACATGTGAACTTCACATTGTCTGAAGAACTCTGAAACCTTACAAACAGAGCATGAGGTTGGCAGGCATTGCACACTGGCAATCCATATTCAAATGCAATGAGGAGAAGGACAATATCACCGTGAAGGATGTTGTCCTATTACATTGTGCCTATGTGACTTAACTCCCCATCCAACCCTGCAAATAGCTATTTGCCTGGACTCAACAGCAAGTGTGATCTCCATGGCAGGGAGGAGGTGGGAGGCCCACCGAATTTGTTTTACTCTAGGCATACTTTTGGGAGGCTCAGGGTTAAAATCCCTGGGCTGAGCGTAGGCGTAATTCTTTCCAAGGCCACACTTACCTATAATAAATTCAAAGTGGAATTAATGATGTCCAATTAAGCTATTCGTTATTTTAACTCTTAAGGTCAAGGGCAAAACAGTATTTATTTTTATTGAGAGAGAGTCAATGGGAAGAATGCTAAAGAAGGCCAGGCTCACCTTCAAGCAGACTCAGTAAACCTGTACTGAGAAGACTATAGTCTTCCTCACATTGCGGTCATTGGTCCTTTCAGTCTAGGTTTGTTTCTCTCTCTCCGGTGGCATTTGCTTCACTCATTCAATTTCAGTATCTACTGAATTAGGCACGTGATGCTACCCAGAACATAATGACACTTAAGACTGTTTTTCAAGGTGCATATGACCGCCCAACAGTACCGCTGCAGGTTCAGTAGGGGATTGGCACATCACAATTACTTTATATACCCTTGCTCACCACCATCACGTCTTTCATTTTGCATTAATCCTCAATGGCTTGAGGCAGCAAAGCTTGCATGTGTGGGTTGAGCAATCTCCCCAGGTGACTCTGGCCAAGTCCTCTCCCTCTCTCCCTAGGATCACCTGAAATTCAAGACCATTGTCACGATGTCTTCAAGTCACTGAGGGAGGAAGGCAGCCCATCAGTCACTGCCTTCAGACTATAGCAACACAGCACCTCCAACTGACAACCAATTTTGGATATCTGTGGGCTGACCCACCGTAGGAAATGCCTCTACTTAAACTAGTTTGACACAAAGCCTGAGACCATAGCTTCTAGATGGATTTGGAAGCCAAACCTGAAGGTAGAAGAAAGCCCAAATATTTTAGTTTATTCCCATGACCTCTCTGGGCCTCTGTTTTCTTACCTCTAGAATTGGAGGGCAGGGAAGGCTTTAGTCTCTGATTAGTCTGCCAAAATACTTCCAGTTCTATACCCCACAGGCACGTGAGCAGGGGAGAGCTGAGATGTAGACTCAGTCTTCCTGATTTCTGTTTTCTCATTGCTTAAAGTACCGTCCAGCAAATGAAGCCTGGTGGGGGAACCTTCAGGCCAGCTTTCACAGGCTTGTCCTTCTATACTTCTCCATGGAAAGACTACCAAGGAAGCCACAGCATGAGGAAAGCTCACTCTGTCAACTCCTTCCATCTTTCCACAGAAGCTGCCTCCACTGCCCCCCAGAAGCCCTCTGTGGCAGCTCCTGGAACTATCAAGCCAGCGGTGACACAACTAGAAGCCACTCGGTCCTGCCACAGCAGATGCGCCGAGAACAGGTGGAAACCTAAGGAGGTAAGTTCAGAGCCCACAAGGCAGCTCCCCTGTCTCTGTGCCCAAAGCCCTCATGGTGGAGGATATTTGTGCCACTCCTCAGAGATGTGAGAGAGAAGACAGCCGTGCCATCCTCAGATGCTGGTGTGCCCCTCCCTCTACCAACTGTCAGCACAGAAGACCGGAAGAGCCCCCTCTACCTCTCCCCATTGTTCTGCAGTCAATTAAATCAGAAAGAATGGGACCTTGACATGCAGTTTGAAGACAGAACTCAGATGACCCACTAAAATATAAACTGTCTTGTGTAATATTCTTGGAAAAAATAATTTTGTCTATCTCTCCTAGTTTTCCATCAATGACATCAGAAAATCTTGACCTGGAAGCACAAAGATATAAAAGGAAAAAAAGGAGGTGGACATGTTTAGCGATGGTAATACTGCAGAATATGTAGAGACAGATCTGAATTGGCAGGATTCTTCGGCTAGTAGCCACGTATCTTTGAGTGAGCCACCTAAATCCCTTTATAGTGTTTCCTGCCCTGGAAAAAAATTATCTACTTTATCAAGTTATTCTGAAAGTTAAACGTCTGAAAAGTGCCTGGCATTTGATAAGTCACCCAAGAAAGAGGACCTCGTGTTAAAATAATCAAAAGTTCCAGTGGCCTTTGGTACCTCCATTAGCCTGTGAGCCCCTTAAGGACAGGAACTGTCTCTGTCACTTTCCTATCCCTTGTGTCCAGTATGCCACAGGCCTCCACATTCATTCCATGAGCTTGTATTGAACATCTGGGATAGGCGTCAAGGGCACAGAAGTAAACAAGACAGATGTGGCCCCTTGCCTTCATGTGGCTCAGTCTAGTGAGGAACATGACAATTATAGTGCCATGAATAACCAAAAACATACATGAATTAATTAACTAGTTAATAACAACCTTCTCATTTTTTTTTGTTCATAAGAACTCAGACAATGTCAATGGCACAAAAGCAAGAAAATCTGTGAGTGCTTCAGATAATTACCTTCAAACCTGGGGACTTGGGGCTGATGGGTTGGCCCTCATTATGTGGCAGGTCTCACCCCATGAGCCACCCCCTGAGACCCATCAGGCTAGCCCAGGAAGCCCTTTGATCTGTCCTTACAGTTTCTTCCAAACCACTGCAAAACATTCTGGTTCCTGGTCTCACTGTTTTATACCCAAGCTGTCTAAAATGCAGTAACCTTTTTTTTTAAAGAGCAACTGGAATTTTAATTAAAGATCTACGGATCTAGCCAAGGATATTTTTCTAAAAGAAAATCAGTATCTGTTTTTGGAGACAGAACATTTCATAACAGAGATCTCATATACTATGATGAATGATAAATAGTGACATGGGCTATACCCTCACGGGTGTGTGTGTGTGTATGTGTGTGTGTGTGTTTGTGTATGCACTCTTGTGTGTGTCTGATGTTCATCCTGCCTAGTGAAAACAGAGACAAGGAGACAAATGCACTCCAGTTACTTAAACCATTCAGATGTTTAAGGCAGACAGTTAATGGAACAACATTAGGGCTTGTCTCTTAAGGGTAGGAGATTACCTTTTGTTCTCCCTGATGATTCTCTTTGATTTAATAGGTTTTGGCTTCAAGACTCCCAGAAAACAGCGTTAGACATAAATTGAACTTCCATACATGCTGATGGGCAGCTGGCTAGCACGCACCTAAATCCAGAGGGGCCACGTGGGCTGCTGCAACTCCCTGCCAGCACCTTCAGTGCTAACTGCATCTATTCTCAAAGCCCCAGTGGCATAGATGGCAGTTTGGCAAGATGATCGCACCTGTGGGTTTTGTTTTTTTGTAAATTCATGCTCACTGCTTGGCTCCTCCCTCACATTCCCCACTCATCAAGCCAGTCAGAGGCAGCAGGAAGTGAGTACCTCAGCCGCCCAGGTTCCTCCAGAGCCATGAAAGCCCACACCCTTGGCAGTGTGCACCCATGCTCGGGCCTATTTTGAGCCCACGAAAGGGAGGCTTGAAGGGCAGACCTGTTTGGAGCGGGCAGGCCATCTCGGACAGAAGGCCTGGAAGCTCAGAGGCTGCTATGTCTACCCATCCCCAGAGACTATGGCACAGCCATCAGGCCAGCAATGACAGATGTCTCCCTGGCCCAGAGAGCTGAGAGACAGATGAGAGGCAGATTGCCACGGGCCTGCAGTGAAGCCTCGGCCACTATGCTGGCCTGGAACGGGAAGCTGCGGTGCTGGGATTGAGTCCCACTTCCCTAACATGTAGATGTCACTCCTCTGGATTCAAAGGGCAAAGGTTATAAGAGAGTAACAGACATTTGACCCTGAGCACTTATTCATCTAAGGGAAATCTGATCTGATTCCCTCACATCTCCTGCCAGGCAAACCATCAACATTAGGTTAAATTCTTCCAATCTGTCATTTTACATCAATTCTAGACAGTGACAGTTGATATAAAATCACGAGATTAATACATGCACGTACACATTTATCATTCTATATTTATTGTTATATATTTGCTATAAGGCAAATGTATTTTTGCTTTGAGTGACAGCAGCAGGTGCCAATCCTGGCAAGCTTTGAAATGTCAGTCAGTGGACTTGCATGAGAACAACGTACAAGCACCATCCACAGAAATCTTAGGCATGGAAAGTGAGTGACTAGGAGTCAATTACCAACCCAAAGCGT